AATAATTAAAATAAAACACTTTGACTATTTAGTACATTTTACTTATTAGTTCGATTAGCTATATTGAAAGACACAATTTCAGGTAACAGGTACAGGTAGGTCCCAGAATACAGGTGCAGTTTATATTCGTGCAAAATATTTATTCTCGATAAGATGCTGAGGGCAGTTGAAGTTACGGGACATTTGACGCCATCTGTTACGATCATTGCCAAGCATATAACCAAGGGTTACCATATTCTCAGTCTTTTATGGACGCAGTAGCTCTAGGAACTGTAAATATAATGGGGTACTCTAGCGTAGGGTATAGATACGTAGAAAAAACATGATAGTGTTACAACAAAAAGTACAGTTTTGACATACAGTTCATTGTGTTTACGATTAAAAGTTTTAACAGAGTTATACAGTAGGTAAGGTATATAGTGTACTCTTAGTAATAAATTTAAGGTCCAGAAAGTTCATGTGGAATCAGGAATTCGTAGGCCTTTGCATGTTTTACGCAGTTATCCTTAGCGTACTTACTTCTTTTGATTTTGAATTTAGCCCAATTGCAAATTTAAGTCTTAGTATTCAATTTGTTTTATGTGAGATGTTACAAATGCTATGCAAAAGCAAAAACATCGATCGTGAAAATGTTGATTTTTATTTCACTTTAAATTTTAAATATAAATGTAACTGCTTGTCCCAATATTTTATAATGTGTGGCAACCCTTTTTTTCTTTAATTTTTGCAATCGGTAGGTACGTACTCGAAACATTTGCAAGGCATGCAAAAATAACAAAAGCGTCATGTTATACGTTAGAATATTCAGTTCATTGAATGTTCTTTCATCTTTGTTTTTTTTTTATTTTGCTTGAAGATTTATTAGTTGATTCTGCTGTCAACGAATATTTTTGATATCAATATTTACTTTAAAATTTGTAGAAAAAAGTACGAAAAGTTTATCGCTGCTGTGGGAATCGAACCCACTCGTCTTGGGGATTCGCGTCTTGACGCTATTGCCACTTTTAAATTTATAAAATTTCAATATTTCCTATTCAATTCAAAATACTGCTGAAAAAATGGTAAAATATTTAAAAAAATTCGAAGACTTCCCAATAACGTTGTTGGTTGAGATTGTCTTAGTATGGCATGGACTTATCTTCTTATAAAAGATGGACTGACGGGAATGAGTCACAATATCCTGACCAAGGTAATGATGTCAACAGGGTGCCGCGTGTGGTGGGTTCTTTTCTCACAAGGGAGAAATGCTGAAGCACGGATAACTGTATATAAAACGTCATTTATGTGGATAATGTTTTTTTTTCTTTTTTTTAAAACATTGCCCTTACTTTAGGATAACATTATCATGTGTTGTAAGGACGTTTTACACACATAAATTTCACGCGGACAAACACCCAGATGCGAAACAAATATTTGTGGGTCACACAAATAGTTGTCCCGTGTGGGAATCGACCCCGACGCCGAAGCCAATACCTTGGCCACTGCGCCACGGAGTCATCCATGTCACACTACAATAAGAGTTATGTTAATATCAAAATAAAATGGCTTTAAACACGTGTCGGTGACGTGGCAATTGAATCATCATAAGTTAATGATATCCTCAGCCAACATCTGTTCATTACATTAACTTCAAACGAAGCTTCAGGTCAGACTTTTGACCTTGCAAAAAAACGTTGGTGTTTGAACGTTAATTAAGTTCTTTGCACTTCAACTAAAGACGATGCTCTCCTTTAAAGCCCGTAGCAACATTAAACTGGCGTAATTTGATTACATGTTTATTTAGTAACTTGATGACTCGTTGCTAAGGTATCGTCTTAGGTGCTCGTCGTGTATTCGATTCCCGCACAGGACAAGTATTTGTGTGACCCACAGACAATTATTCCAAATAATAGATTGGACCTCACGTGTTTAGCCTAGGTAAACTACGGCTATGGGGTTTGATTTATAGTCGAATGTATTTATCGTGCGTGTTACATATAGCGGTTGGGCGAGTCCAGATATCGGGGAATCGATCCCCATGACTCATTGTCTCGAGGGTTACACCAGTAAGATATGTGGCCTTATATCGGCTGGGACAGAATGGCGACAGCGCAGTTAAGTCATCCCATGTGTTAACCAAAGGCGCCTTTAATAGATATCCGATCAAACCGTTCGTTGTCTATACTTAATTGGTTCAGTTTTTTGACACATCTCTGTCATTGCAATTGAGCCATAAGACAATGAGAAGAGAGAAAAATGGCGGCATGCGAATAGTCTGTATGGAGAAATCCCAAGACGTTAAACTATAACAATAGTGAATTGAGCCATAAATTGGACAGTCGTTGAATGCAATACTTATTTGGGGGCTGTCCGAACGCGTCAGCTGACTCATATGTACGGTGGCTGTAGAGCGGCGCACGCCGGCCACCGGTGTTGCATGACCCTGCGAGCTGGGGCCGACCCTGCAAACGGAGAGGGGGCAACGCCCTCGCCGGCCGGGGCGACGGACCGCGCAAGCGAACTGAGCTATCAGCGCGACGCAACGGAAACAGGAGCTTTCAACTTTGCGGGATTATTGATTTGTGTCGTGCTATGTTCAGATAAACATCGCAAAATTGCTACATACAATTTTATGTTTTTTATACTGTGTAAATGTCTTGGAATCAAATGTGAATATTCGTAAGGTAGTCTAGTTGATCTATACGATATTGTTACTACCATGTCGGTACCGTGGTCAGTCACCAAATGGTCTCTTCTTTCTCCTGCCCTTATCCCACGCTAGGCGGGGTCGAAACAACGTTTTCAATTCCTCTATCAGATGTCATCTCAATACTCACCCCTTTCACACATATATCATTCTACATACGGTCCATCCAAATGTTGACTGAAAATCAGTCGACAAATAGTACTGTAATAATGTGTAGGCCTATGCATATCTTATATACGTATATCTCCGTCATCTTGAAATACTTTAACAATTCCGACTCAAAGCTAGAGTTGCAGCCTTTGCGTTTCCTGTTTAACATAATCATTTATACACAAAACATAAGTTAACACTATTTTAAGTGCTCATTTGAGAAGTCTAAATATTATTTAGTTTTCTCAAAGCAGAGCTCATGTTAAACGTACATTCGTAAACGTTTCACAAACAATCCGCTGGCTCAAACTCATGTAATATAACTCTGTTATTAATACGGAAACGATACTTTTGTAACGACCAACTTTTTGAATTTCGGCCAACACTAACTGAAGATGTTAGTAAATAAAGTTTTACTAACACGTGTCTTCTTGCTTTAGATATAACATAGTTTTTGTGTCACTTCTGCAACTTAGAAGGATTCCGACCGCTATTAGTTAAAGTTACCACAACATTAAGATGATGCACCGCACATGTGTAGCACTAATGTATTGAAGCTGGTCAAAGACTCGATTACATCAGTCAATTCGAAAAGAGTCGTTTACATTCAACTAGAGCAGAGTGACGCATTAACACGAGCAACTGATTCCACGCGGTGCCCATTTGCCTAGTTATTATAAATTAAATAGTTCCCTAACCCCCTTTACGAGCGCGGTTAACGCCCGCGGACGCTTCAAACGCGTTCCTGGGATCGATTTATCGCCCGGTTCTGAGAATAACAGCCGTCGGGACTAGAACGTTAACTTAGGAAACAACACCACCAGGTTACAACAACTCTTGCGAAATACGAGTACTTTAGAGCATGTATCAATGGGGATACAATTATGATTTTCCAAATATTATGCTTCCACTTTTCACATATTACAAAGCTTATTTGTATCGGATCATGAAAATTTTGAAATTTATTTAAAAAATCGAAGTAATAATATGTCGTGGATAGTTACGACGATACAGTCGAGCGCCATTCCGCACAAAGTGAGTGTTGACAATTGTAGGAATCCTCGAAAGAATTCATGAATGCCTCACCAAAAAGTATTTGGATGTGGATTTCGCCAATAGAGTAACCGCAGATGACAGACGTACCTGCCCTTGTAAGCCTTGGACGCATTACAGCAGGGCCATGGAAACGCTTTCATAAACATCAGCATCTCGCCAGCGTTGGCCGTGTTAATAGTCTTTCCTCAGGAGGGAACTCCCCTCTTCACCAGTCTGAATGGGCTGACTGGATTCCTCTTGGCTTCTCCGCGGGAGACCAAACTACAACTACTCCTCCGCTGCGAAAAGGCTGAATACTTACGAAAACACTACAGGCTTCGGAGAAAGCGGGTGCACCGCTTTCTCCGAAGCTTTTATCCGCTATTTCACCCCTTTCAATTTCTATTTTGGCGAAAAATGGTAGCAAAAACCAAACTCGACTATCTCTACACCTTGAATTATCGTTTTTATGTGCGACCACCTCGGTCTACCTGATGTTAAGCGACGAAGGAGCCGCTAAATGGCGATTGGTTCATTGGTCAAGGCATGAAGACTTAATACGTGATAGAGTTACTTTCACGTTTAAATATTGTTTAGACTACCCAAACAAGTATCCTTGTAAAATTATGTCACTTTAGCAGTTTCAATAGAGGCCGTAATACGTTGATGTGATGTTGTTTATGGATTATATAACAAAATGTAATAACAATCATCTGTCTTTTGAATCATTGCGTCACCTGTGCATTGTGAAAAAGGCTAATTATGTAGTCAATAATAGAAGTACTTTGGATCCACGACTGACAAGTAGTGGAAGATGGGTCCATAAAGACAATTATATTCACAATCTCATTACCAACTGCAGACAAACCTTTTGTTTAAAGAAAATTTTCGTGGTTGAAACTTACAACTAATTACTTGTAATATTATTTCTTCGTTTTAATTTTATTTAACGTTACTATTAAGTAATTGTTACGTTACGGATAATTTCAAGTAGTGGCATCGATACCCGGAGTGACAAAAAGAAAGATTTATAGCTATCTTCTTTTATCAGTGTGATGCTATCATCGTTGACAACCCTAAACGTAATTTTATTAAAACTTATCCGTTTTTTTTTTCAGAATAAGAAAAAATGAGGGGACGAGTTCTCTTTCTAGTGCTATTGGTGGCCGCGGTGTGCACCGTCGACGCCGAGGTAGGCCAAACGTGTCTTTATTACACGATAAGTAATACCATTTAAGCCTTTCTTAAAGACTGCCGAAGCATTTACTAATCTCCTGGTGTTATGAATTTCCTCATCTATAATATATAAGAGATTTCCACAAACTCATCACGATACCTCTGGAACCATAAGGCGTAGAGAAACTTGAAATTTGTTAGGAATATTCCTTTCGCCGAGTAGAGGTCAGCTAAGAACGGATTTTACGAAATTCCACAAAACAACGTTAGCCGGATCAGCTAGCCCTATATATAAATAACATATCCGTATGTAGAAAATTATGAATAGACTATTTTCAATTTACTACTTTTTTGGGTAATAGGAGAAAAATAATTGTTCTGTGATGCTGTAAATTTTTTATACGATCTAAATACCCAAAAATGAGTGTATTGAAGTCTAGATATGTTGGTGATAAACAAAGAGCCAGGGTAAACAAATATAGCCAGTGATAGCTTTCGCCGAGTTTATTTGGTTCAAAACTAGACAAGTTGAGGTTACAATTTGTGCAAGGCAGTGCGGCGGGCCGAAGTTGGAGATAAACGGGCGGTAGGAGTGACCTATATGTGGTGAGGTACCATCGCAGGCCGGAGGCAGAATCATGTGGTACTTTCTGTGCAGAGGCACCGTCGGCGGCACCGTCGCCCGCGCGTCACCACCACCACGGAGGCGGGGCCCCGCGCGGCGCCGGCCAAGGAGGACGCAGAGGCGGAACACCTAGAGCTGGGAATGGCGGAGCGCATGGACGAGCGACGCTTCCAGGTCTTATACTTCGACCGACTCTTCGTTTTCAGACAATATACGCTCCGTAGCCGCTTTTTCTTTATAAAACAATATCCAGTGTTGATTTTAAGCAAATTAAAAAATTCGACGTGCACAATGACCTAGATGATTTTCAAAATTCTTTATATTGAAGCCTTCTTTTATGTACTTGAATAAAACTTGTGATTTACTCGATAAGAGACGTATTAAACAACAATTCAACTTCAACGTCTCTTTAGATACGAGTAAAAGATTTCTTATATGTTTTAGGAATCTGAAAAGGCGCGCGTTAATGAAATCCTCAATGAAAACTCCTACGAAGTTAATGGTGAAAACGAAGGAATTAGCGACGGTAATAACCTTTAAAATTTATATACATATTTCATTACGGTGCTTACTGGAGCTATATTTTCTCAAATCTTTTTTAGTCAATCAAGTTCGTGATTATAATTATTATATAAGCTACTATTACTTATATCTATTGAAGAATCAACCTAAACAAACATGTGATAAATAAAAATCTACAGGTAGTGATTTAACTTTAATATTAATTTTAATTCATTTGCAACTTAACATCAAAAGCATAACGAATGTTTTTCGCAATAAAAAGGCAAAGTCAACACAAACTGACAAAGTATGTTTTATTTCTTCAATTTATTGTTCAACTGACTGTATTCTTGTTTGAAATAACCTGTTACGGGGGTTTCCGTCACGTCCCACCTGGCGGACAGACCCCTGCCTGAAGGTGCACTGCAGCGCGGGCCGCGTCTGCGAGATCGACGAGCACGGCGACGCAGTCTGCAACTGCATCAAGGAGTGCCCGTACGAGACCGACTCGAGGCGTAAGGTGAGCCTGTTCCTAGCAACTCCGGCTGGCGGTCGGACTTAGGTCGACCACGAAAACTTTTGACGGGAGAAGAATGTAACGCTTTCCCGCCAAACGTCATCCATAGACTATAAAGATTTTTTTTCGTCAGTAACGTGCAAACAAACGCTTGATTGATCTTATCTTACACTAACTTACCGTTATTTTAATGTAGCTTTTTTTCTTCTTAACTTATTGTGTACATATAGTGGATGGTATTTTTCAGTATTATTCATTAACAGTATACTAAGAAATAGATATAAAAAAAAATGTGTGCGTGTACTAGCGTACACTCGTAAGAAGTGAAAATTGTTTGAGACGTTATTTTTCAAAAAATTATTTACTATATGCAACTTTACAGAAATTGGTTAAATAAAGTAAAATTACATAAAGTTTAATAAAAGGCTTTTATTATCATGGACATAAATACAAAGTCTACAATTATTTCATTTTAGCTTTGTATAATATTTAGTTTCTTATTTGTAATACATAGGTGGCGTTAGTAGTAAATTAAAACACACTATGGTTTGACCGTTGTAATTAGTATGAGGGTCCGCAAAAATTGTTGATTAAAACTCTCGACTTCCCTGACGATGAGACGACTATCGCCATCGAAAGGATCAAAAAACTTAAGAAACCTCACAACACACACGCCGGCCAGTGCGGCAAACATATACTAGGTTCCGCCACGTACCTGCTTTTCCCCTATTAATGTACATGCGTCCTTCCGTTCTTCTCCCAGCGCCAACGCTCTCCGAATAGTCAGCCTAGTGATTCCCCCAGTCAGATAATAGGATAGAGCATTCGGCCCTCGCGGGGACCCTTGAGCCTGATCATCCATGGAGCGAAAAGCGCCCTAAGAGCTTTTAATAGCGTGACGGCCCGAGCCGAGGCTCCTCCGGGAGCCCTCGAGCTTAGAAACCATAACGCGTAATAATAGTACGGACGTTCAGGAGGCGCCCCGTCGGCCACCTCAAGTCAAGGCCCCTAAGGCAACAGTTCATCCAGCCCAAAAAAAAAATTTGATTAAAAGCCGATGTGAACGTTTAGGCTTAACCTCACGAAATACAACCGCAATTTGTACATGGTCCTTCGTTGCCGAATAGTCAGCCAGTGAGTAGAAGGCAGACATTCGACTCGCGCGCGTGTTGTGAGTGAAGTGTCAGGTCACGGTGGGCGGTGCCTGCCTTTGGAGAAGAGGAAGTCTCTACAGTGTCGTTGCTCTGAAGTATTAGAGCTAGCACTGTCATTACTACAAATATTATTATTGAATTTCATTAATTGTAATAGAATTATTACTATCATTGATGTCGTTGTTATATATTTGTGTTATTAATGGCTATAAATATTATTATTGAATTTCATTAATTGTAATAGAATTATTACTATCATTGATTTCGTTGTTATATATTTGTGTTATTAATGGCTTATGGTAACTGAAATACGAATATATTGTATACATTTTAGAATTAGAATTAAAATAAACCCTTTGATTTTAACATATATATATTGTTATGAACACAAATGGGAACTAACGCCATCTAGCGTCAACTATTAAAACCACTAAAGAATAAAGACGACATAAAACCCCCTTTTCATCACTAGATGGCGTTAGAGGAACATTTTAAGATAAGAAAAAGATGGCGCGTAACGCAAAAATGTTACACTACATTTTTTTCCAACCCCGATAAAGAAGTTTCAGTTCAAAAATACACATCACTTCTATTTTCCACCGTACTAGATGAGAGTCATCACAAGTTGATGCTTTTGCACTGGCAGTAGTGAGCAAAACTAATTTTTTTAGTTGCGAATACTTCTGAGGGGGTTCCCGAACTTCAAGTGATCTCAGAAAAAAAATAGAGATTGATTGTTTGTAGGTGTGCACGCACCATAACGAGACCTGGTCGTCGGACTGCGAGGTGTACCGGCAGCGCTGCCTGTGCCTGGACAACTCGGAGCTGTGCCGTGGGCCCCAGTACCACCACGTGCAGATCGACTACTACGGCGCCTGCCGCGAAATGCCCGTACGTAATTTTGCCAAGTCCTTGGCGCGTCACTTTGTAACGAAGCAATTGCTGGGTGTCTTGAATATTTATTTATTTAATTATTTATTTATTTGGCACGGCAAAATACAAATTACATGACTAAATTATTACAGACTAATATATATTACTAAACTTGCATTTCAATAACCACCGAGCACAACATGCAATTTTAATAATGTATGTAATAAATTATAGTTATAGTTACTAATTTACTTATAACAAAGAAGCAGACCAATGTTCTTAGAGGACTTAATAGTTTTTAAAAATAATGACAAGTTTTGATGAAATATATCTATGTCTCTACATAAAATATTATACTGTCTACACATTCGAATTAAGGGATTGTTATGAGATACATTATTCCGGGTTAGCGGTATATGGAAAAGGTGATGTGATTGACTATTTTATGCAATGTTAAGAGGTCGCTAAGTTGTCGTCGCATAAGAAGGGAATCCAGATTAAACCTTGCAAGTCTGTCATTGTATGTTAGCAGAACTTTTCCCAGACCTAGCTTATAACTGAGGCTACGAACAAACCATTTTTGTATTGACTCTAGTCTATTTATATGATTATTATACAATTGTAGAGGATAATTAAGCTAATAATATAGCTGACCTAGGATACAGTATCGCTAACCACTGTTGGACACCCAGTATATACCTCTTTTCTCAAGTTCGGTAACGTTGAAGAAAATTAAAATTGTTGCAGATTCAAATAAAAAGCTCGTATCTTATAAACAAGACGTCTTGTATTTCCCATAACTCTATATCCTGTTGTTGATACATTACGTTGCTAATGAAATATCATATTTGCACCAATGTGAATTTTGTTAACGAGAATCGTACCTGTTGCTGCTATAGCAACAGCACCGATGGGGCCATCAAATCTCTTGTGCGCATTCGCTTCGGCCAGAACAAACTCGCCGAGTCTCAGACCTGTCCAAATTCATTTCGGGGATTGGCAGGGGCTTCCCCCACCTATCCTATTACCACCTGCTGTGAACAGCCCGCTGAGTGTGTTCGACCCGTTACACGTCGCAGGCGTGCACGGAGAGCGAGATGTCGGACTTCCCGCGGCGCATGCGCGACTGGCTGTACAACATAATGCGCGACATGGCCGAGCGCCGCGAGCTCACGCCCCACTACCTGCGCATGGAGCGCGAGGCCGAGTCCAACCTCACGCGCCGCTGGACCAACGCCGCCATCTGGAAGTGGTGCGACCTCGACGCGCACGACAACGACCGGTGAGACGAACGGCGAGGTTCACCGGCTACTTGTCGCACCTGCTGCCTCTAATTGCACCATCCATTTGTATCGCTCAAAGAGAATTGAAATTAATTTACTTACCTATATAGTTTTACACGTATTTTTTAAGTTAAAATTCGCGTGCACATCGACGGTCACACCGAAAGAGACCTTTTTTATGTTATAAGTTGGCAAACGAACAGGCGGTTCACCTGATGTTAAGTGATCACCGCCGCCCATGGACATCTATAACACCAAAGGAGTGTCAGATGCGATTTTTTTAGTGTCAAATGAAATATGGAAGTGAAAGAAATTTTATAAAAAGCCCTTACCAAATACTGGGGCATAGTTACAAACTACGCCGCGATGGTCGTGAGTGGTCGTGAGTGGTCGTGAGTGGTCGTGAGTGGTCGTGCACTTTTGCAGGTTCGTGTCGCGCCACGAGCTGTTCCCGATCCGGGCGCCGCTGATGGCCCTGGAGCACTGCATCGGGCCGTTCCTCGACCTCTGCGACGAGGACAACGACCACCGCATCACGCTGGCCGAGTGGGGCAAGTGCCTGCAGCTCGACGAGGTGACCACTCCCCGAGCCCATATATACCAAGAGCCCCGCATATTCAAATCCACTCATCCCTGCCTCGCCCTTCCTTTTTCGAGTGAAACTTATTAAACAAATATGTGAAAAAGTTGCAAACAAGCTAGCGGTTCACCTGATGTTAAGTGATAACCGCCGCCCACAGACATTTGCAACACCGGTTGCAGATGTGTTGCCATCTTTCAATAATGTGGGCCCCGGCTACCTCACTCACCAGACTAAACGCAGAAGTGCACTTTACGCCGGTCTTCTGTGAGGTCGTGGTACTTACCCGGACGGACCTGGCAGTTCGTGCAACAGCCGAGGCTGCTGCGTGGTCCTACCACAGTGTACAACCATTACCCGAGGTGAACATTGGCATTTTTTACAGAGTTCTGTAGTCTATGTCCGAAACCCATCATCAGATCTATATGAAATTTATTTGGGACCATTTTGGAATAACACCCTTTCGAACAAAAAAGGAATTTTGCAAATCCGTCTGTATATGACGGAGTTATGCCCGAATATACATAAAAACCAAACAAACATTAAAACCAACCGGATTGAGGTCCACCTCCTTACAAGAAGAAGATTAAAAAAGCGCAACATTGTACATACATTTAATTATTAACACACGAATTCCGTTTGTTTTCAGTACGAGTTGGAGGACCGCTGTGACGAGCTCACCGATTCTGCCTCCTAATTTTCCCCGTACAAAATACATTTATATAAAAATACCACGATATACTTGAAATTATGACATAAACAGACATCTTTCGTCACACATAATAAATTTTGAAATTTAAGAAATATTTTAAGTATTAAGTAAGTAGTCAGTAACACTTGAAGTTTAAATAGATTTCTATGATATAAATAAAAATTTTTCAATAAATGAAGATTGAAACGTCGTTTTACACAAATTTATATTATTGTTACTCATTACAAAGATTGGTCAAGTATAGCATAAATATCACTGCCAATGTTTTTATATATTTCTTGTAATTAATATTACTTTATTAAATACTCTATCGATGTTTGTGGTGATCGTTACATCGATACCTCAATAGAGATTAAACATCCATTTGTTATAAATGGTTAATATAAATGTAATGTAAACGGTAATACTGTGATTGTACAACCAAAAACCTTTGTTGAAATTGAAATAGATTAGTGCTTCGAAATAAAGCGTTTCTTTTCTTTTTATCCTCTTTAATTTTAAATGGTATTTCCGAAGGAATTCAACATCATCATTTCAGCTTGTTTGAGTCCACTTCTGAACATAAGCCTCACCCACAGATTGCCACAAAGCGCAATACTGACCCACCTGATCCATTCGATTTCCCGCACTTGTACAGGTCACTCCATCTAGTGGGGTCCTTCTACACTACAATGTGAATTAATTGAAAATATTTAATTTTTTCAACAATCGGTCATGGCCTAAATTTACTCAGCCTATCGCTAGAAACTAGGAGTGAGTGAGTTATACTATGTAAAATCGAGTACCGTACAGTCACAAATAACTGTTACAAAATAACAGTCTGTTATTTCATACTATTTACAGTATTACAAGTTAAAAGATGGATGGATATTGTAATAAATGTTAGACTCAAGCTATAAGAATGTCTCTTGTCAACAATAGCATGAGCTCGCCATGTATTAATCTATACAATCAATATGTATGTGAATATTCATCCGTACTTAGTTAACTGGCCCGTAGAGTAGGCCAAAATACCAAGCTACACACTACCGGAATGAAAACCAGTGTCGGGATCAGAACGAATTTTAGTTTCTGTATCTCGACTTTCACGATATTATGCTGCTACACATTTATTTATGTTATTTATATTATTTTTTTTCAAGGAAATAACAGCTATATAATAAACTAACAAATAATAAAAATATAGTATAAATCTCTGAGCCAGTAAAGTTTCCACCAAAAGTAACTTCATATTATAGACAACACGGTAGAACTTGTTGTACTTAAATGAATACATTACAATGAATCTAATTATTACAAATCATATACATATCTTCACTTACTGTTTTTTTATGTTTACAAATTTTTCCAATATTTGAATGTATCTATTATGCCATCGCAATCAAGCATGATATGTTCATAACATTATATGAAAAATTATCTGCTTATATTATTGTATTGCTTAATTAATTAATTAGTTCACTACATAAATTTTAACGCTCTATCAGTAAAAAAAGGTGTGGGATTTCAAAATTACCACGGTTGTTACTAAACTATCGATAAATTCTATTTAAGTATGAACACAACCCTAACAACTAACTAAAAATACAAACTTGGTGTGAAGAAGTGTTAGGCAATAATCTTTAACTCCAAGAGATAAGGACGTTTGTGAGTGTCGAGGGTTTTCTTTTCTTCTAATAGTTTGAAACGATCGACGAAACGAAGTCAAATTGTGTCAATTGTCATTCATAAAATGAAATCTTAATGTCCAGACTTTGAGGTGTATTTTTCAATTGATAGCAATTAATATTTAAGTTTTAATATTGTGAATATAATCATATATATAATAATTAATGCCAATAACAGCTAAGGTACATTTGTAGATACGACACAAGCACTGGAGGCTGCATTAATTGGGTGAGTTTGTCGACAGCAGGTCCCATACCATACTGTGAAAACCACTTCCAATGTTTTCTCTATACCGTGGTACCAATAGTATTTAGCAGTTTCACGCGTCGTACGATAGCGAATATCAACAGTATATTTATTATTACGAAAAACTCAGAGGTCCCTCGTGATAGATTAAAAAAAATATTTTAAAAATCATCAAAATATAATCAATATATAAAAAAATCTTGTACAAAAAGGGTTGACACGATTGAATAATCATTACCTTTTGTACGTGAGCCGAGACATTGTACGTGATGAGCGGGAGCTACTTCAGGCCAGAATCTATAACAATCTGGACATAGTCAATCGGTCGGTCTGTCTCGGTATTATAGCTATGTAGTGGCAAGCATAGACGCGACAATGGTAATCGATATCTACACGCATCCCTATGTTAGACCGGTTCACACCTTCAAGGTTACTGAGACGGCGAGAATAGATGTCTTCTCTTCGTACACAAACTCCAGCCCGAAGTTTAGAGAACGTTAAACAAATCCACGGATACGTGATAGTGGTTGTGTGCCTGGTACATTAGCCCCAAACAGAGGGATTTGAGAGCGGAGTTCTACAGAGCCACTTGATTAGGTTAGGTCCCTCGGGTAGGTTTTTTTGGTAGACGGAAGGCAAAAGTATGCAAACTTTTGCTTTATGCCTTAACGTTTTACGTTTAATCTTCTGTGAGACCATGATACTTCCCCGCTTTGAGCCGGCCCATTCAGCAACGCCTAAAACGGACGCGGAAATCGTAGAATTATAACAATATCCCATGTAATTAATATATTTCTGTATAATGACTAAGTGAATATCTTGGAAGCAGATCACATAAGATAAAATATAAGCCTTACGTAACGACGTAGCTCTATGGTTTATTTATATTTCATAAAATTTGTCACAGTCTAAAGGGAAGTTCCCTGTATATGTCTATGAATATTATATACACAATTTATATTATATATACGAGCACAGCAAAGACAGAAACGGAGTTGAATGCAGTCGCCGTGGCCGAAATCGGCCGGGAGGAATTAGCATCATCATCATTATCACATACAATTTAAGCTTATTCTTTATTGAATGATTTGTTTTCCAAATCCACACCATAGTAGTTAAACGCACGCATGAGCACATGCGCGACCCTACCCATAGCGGAGGGTCCAAACCCGTGGGTTCTGGCTAGCCCACCGGTTCTGCGTCCGATGAAGCTTTAATAGTCTCGGGACTGAAAGCAAAAAACATCAGTTAATACAAGGTACAAGGTTTCCAAATCATTGTTCCATGAACATCATTTTAAAAATTATAGATAAATTAGTAATAATCTTATCTAGATAAATATCATTTTATTTACATCATTGCGAGCAAAGTATATTTTATAATTACATTAAATTAATTAATAGTCTGAATAGTCTGAAATAAGCTTGCATAAATAGGATATAACGGAACGTTTTATAAATATAGTACTAAAATTCACCACAACATGGCTTGGCAGCACTGTGCACGCCCGCCATTTTAAATGATGCTGATTGGTGGACGCTTAAATAGTTGTTTGTTTTTACGACATTTCCGCCTGCGTGCAATTGGCCAACCTGCTTGTCGCCGCCAGTCGCACGGCGCGGTACTGCCATCTTTGTGTCTATCTTGTCGATTTGGCTTGGCGCCTTTCCTGTGGTGGTTGCTCACTGTAGTGGTAATAGTGTGTTACACGTTTCAAAATGGTGAGTTTTGCAAGATTTTGTGAAATATACCCAAAGTGATAGTGTTTTTATTGTGTATTTCGGTGGATTACTGTGTGATATACGACCTGACAAAGTTTCAGCTTCGTACGAATAAATTTAATAGGTTTTTTCACGATTTTTAGGCTGGTGGTAAAGCGGGTAAAGATTCTGGCAAAGCCAAGGCGAAAGCGGTATCCAGATCAGCAAGAGCAGGGTTGCAGGTATAATAATGGGATTTCTTTAATTATTTTATGAATTTTCATGCATAAATATTCATCTAAATCGTTTCATAAGGATATTTCATAAAATTTAATAATACGCATGACCTCTTGAGTATGGCGGCGGCCAACTTTGTGAAGGGAAATAATCAATGAATTTGTGAAAAATAATTTACTCATTTTACAGTTCCCAGTGGGAAGAATACATAGACATCTTAAAAATAGGACGACAAGCCACGGTCGTGTTGGTGCTACAGCAGCGGTATATTCAGCAGCTATTCTGGAATATCTTACCGCCGAGGTAAGCGACGCCTTGTCAATATGGCGGCGGTCCGTAGGGCAATTATAATACAAAATTACTAGCATTTTCTAGAAATTAGAATGTCTATTAACATTGTTTGTGTATCCGTTTTTAAATTTGTTAGATTTTTTCTACTTTTACAATTAGGTATTTTTAAATTTTTACTAATGATTTTTCACTTGGACAAATTTTGGCGGGAAATAAATGTTTATCGAGTTTTATGATTTAAAATAAAAATTGTGTTTATATTCTCTATACCTTTAACTTTTACTATTTTAAATAGAAGTAATAATCAGTGTTTGCTATGTCATTTCAGTATTGTTTCAACTTATGCATAGGGGTAATTATACCTGTCTACATTATTTGGCGGGAAAAGTTATGAATATAAAGCACAAATTTTTTATAGTTTATGAACTATTCCAACTTATTAAGAACAAAGGAATAACACGTTCCCGTTATAAAGGGTTCATTATTTACCTCAAGATATAATTTAATGATTCTTTTCGCCTTATGTAATTAATAAAAACATTAGAACATTTTATATATAATTTTTACATAGATAAGAAACTTTTTTTAAAAATAACTTATTTCTATTTGCATTTTAAAGAACAAAATTAATATTTCAGGTGTTGGAGTTAGCGGGAAATGCATCAAAAGATCTTAAAGTTAAGCGTATCACCCCTCGGCATTTGCAATTAGCTATCAGAGGAGATGAAGAACTTGACAGTTTAATTAAAGCAACCATAGCTGGAGGTGGTGTTATACCCCATATACACAAATCCCTGATTGGCAAAAAAGGTGGTCCTGGAGCACCTGTTTAACTGAAGTAAGTGCTTGTGTCTTGTCATTTGCATATTTATATTTGTACTTTTTCCAATATTCTTTTTACCCTCAATGCTCTTTGTCCTGCAGTGGGACATATATTATAGAGTTACTTTATAACTATTATGTAGAAAGAGAACTATAATGAGTTTATTGGTTACAAAAAAGTGAAAAACGTAATCATTATAAACTATGTTGTAAGGTTTGCTATTTTACCATTTTTTCATTGGAAAGTTTTTAAAGGACTGTAATTCTTTCTCCTGTATCTGATTGCAATGAAATAATAATACATGTTTGATTTCAGGCATCATCAAGATCAACATTGCATTTGAACCTGGATAAGTTTTTCAGCATTGTATAATTCATCACCCAATCAGTAAACATAGTTTTCTATAAAGGTAGTGATGTGGACAAGTGGTGTGACATCATAAAACTGTCTGTCAGGACTAAACATAGCTAATAAGTAATAGGGAATACTTTAGTATTAAGGAGATTTAAAATATGATTGTATTAGAATTAAGTTTAATTTTCTGTTTATTGAATGGGATATCTTTATTTTGCTGAAACATTGTGTTCAAACTCATTGAGGAATATTAAAATGTTTTGCTGCCAGCTTCTTGTAAGTTTTTTGTATTGGGGTTGTAATGTTTCTTGGATCAGAAGCTGGAGTAAAATGATTTTATTTTCATATATAATTGATTGCGCAATTGTAATTTGTTTGTGAGCTCTAAGCTGTTATATTATTATTTGCAGCATTTTGTATTTTTTTAAGTGACAAGTTGCCTAAAGCAATAGTATTTGCATTATTATATTGTTCAAAATTGTAATTTGGTATGAAAGAACTGTTAAAAGTTGTAAGAAATGTATTTTGATCTTTAAAATATATTGAAGAAGCACTGAAGTTTGTTTATTCTTGGAAATAGCTTCATTTATCGTTATTATCTTGGGCATTACCACATACTAGCCTACTCTTGACAGCGGTCTTGCAGTTGTTTTGTTTGCTACCCTTGACAGCGGTCTTGCAGTTGTTTTGTTTGCTACCTTTTAACAATGATATTCAATAGATATAACACCAGAGCACTAATTAATTTTATACACTGCCATCTCTTTCCATGTCATTGGTCTTTATCATCTGTCACATTCACTTATACAGCGTGTCGTTACAGCCGCGACAGTAAATGAACACATGGCTATCAGCCGTTTAGCTAAGTGGCTAGAGTGTCAGGCCGCGGATGCCGAAGAATGGTCGATTCCCACAGCGGCGACAATCTTTTCGTACTTTTTCTACATGTTTTAATGAACACACGTTTAACGCTGCTTGCCAATAATCATAAAAAAATATATTTTTCAAACAAACTAAACATTAAAAAAAAGTTGTAACACCTATATTTGTACATGTTTTATAAATGTTGTATACAACTACAACTGAGTGATTCATACAGTCAGAGACGTTTTCATTCGTTGCCACGTCGCTTTAGAGGTCTCTCCTTCTAACAGTATGTTTTATCTCTTAGATTCATTCTACCCATTCAAATGCTTTGTGAAAGATCACAAGTCACAGATGAACTTTACGTTACAGTTTTATACATAAGGCTGTTCTAAAAATGTTTGTTTTGTAAAATTTAATAACCCTGTAAATATTGATGTTGAAAAAATGAAAATGCTTAATACAATTTGAAAAAGTTATCCTCTATGTGTGTGTTCTTTTATTGTCGCGTTTGTAACGACACTCTTTAAACATGTGTGTCATAACGTACAGCGGATCAATTTTTAATGCCACGCAATATGGGCATGTGTCATCTATATTAATAAACATTGCTTTTAACTGAATTATTAATATTTCAACGAGTAATTATTTAAGATGTCTTTATATTATTTAAATTTTTTATCACCTTTTAGCTTTAGTTAAAATCTTATCTGGCAATACTGAAGTCACTCGTAATTAATATGATACTACTGGTTGAGACTATAAATACGATATACAAATTATTATTAGTATATTCGCAGAAATTACCGTATTGTAAAAAAAAATTAAATTTATAAAATAAGAAAGTATTATTTTTTTTTTTTTTCAAATTATTATCGTTATTCAAAGTGATCGCCCATGTAATTGATGCACCTTTGCAAAAGCAGTAGTAGTATGATGCTCAAGTAAAAATCACCAGGCTAGGCGGGAACAAGCCCTACAAAGGCATTTTCGTCTAGAGGCAGTCACGGGAATTAATTTTTCAAGAAATTTCAAAATTTTAGAAAAAGTAATAATCGGTAGGTGCAATGTCTGGTGAGTACGGCGTGTAAGGGAGAGCCTCCAACTCCCAACTCTTCTCCAACCTCAGCTGGGAGACTGTCTGTTGTGCAGTTCATTAAGATCATTCTGATGAATTCAGAGAGTTTACCAATTCTTTTGGCAACTCAATTAACATTTGAAAAGCCATTTGACTGCTTATTAGTTAACTTCTACGATGAACAATGTTTCACAAAAAGCGGACGTGAGTTTGTAAAAATTAAATTAATTTGAATTTAGAATTCATAGCCAATCAATTTTTTTAATCAAAACAAAGAACGGCACTTTCATAAGTAAATTGTAACTGTACAAGTACTAAAATAAGTAAATTACCTGATGTAATTAGTTGATAATTGTTTCTAATTTTTAACCATTATTAATAAAGGAAACAAGAAGTAAGATAAGAAAGTATTGAAAAAGAATTAATATAAATTAAGATTTATAAAGTTCTTCAGGCACAAATTTATAAAATTGAAATTTCATGACGAAAGAGGCAGTAATGAAATGCAATTATAATCAAATAAATTAATTGATTCTGAATACAATTGATTTAATTTTTTTGTGATTTTTAGGCTTAAGTGTAGAATATAATCTGTCTTGTATATAATCTGTTAATTATTCTCCATCTTGTTGGTTACATACATTAAGCTCACTAACTCACTAAGCGTGTCGTTTTAAGGATTTCGTGTACACGTTTAAGTGGTCATCACTTTCTCTTGTAAAATATAAGCTTTGAAATTGAAACAATAAAGTGTGTTAATAGTTATACGGATTACGGCGAGATATTTTGCCTGTTACTTATAAAGTTTTGTTCGAAAAGGTCCGGGGTCGTATATTAAGTATTAAGCAAAATAAGCAATAAAATGAGCTCGAGACATCGTGACAGGAGTCGCTCACGGTCTCGAGACCGCGAACGTCATAAGGACCGCGATAAGACTAGGGATCGGGACCGAGACCGCGAGCGCGACAAGGAACGCGACAGAGACCGGAACCGTGATCGTGACCGCAATCGTGATCGCGACCGAGACCGACACAGGTCGAAAAGGTACCTACCTACCCATTTTGTAATGTTTTGTTGCCTTACCACAAAATTTAAGTGATAATATCACCAATATAAGGAATAGTTGCCTATCTACAGCTTATGCCTCAATTAGAATTTAATTGGCATTAATTTCGACACAGACAAATATTGCTTGTTATCCACTAATGGATTTCTATGAGCACCGCTGTTAACTTAGCAGTAGCATACATACAACATACTTAACGAAATCTTATATACAAAGCCCAAGAGTTAAACAAGTGATTCTCAGCTTCTTGATGTAGTAGTGTAGTGGGATATAGTTTTAACAACTCTGGTTTTGCATAAATGCCATACACATTAAAATCACACTTGTGTTGTATGTTGTATGTATGCATCCGCATACCGAAAATCTTGCCAATTTACAGAGATAAAGAGCGCAGCCGAAGTAGGGATCGAGATAGGCACAAGGACAAGCGTCGGTCCCGGAGCCGCTCACGATCAGGCAGCCGAAGTCGCAGTAGAAAGTCTAAAGACAGGTAAGTTATATCACAACTTGTTGTATGTTTATACTTGATAAGTAAATCAAGTATAAACATACAATTCAAATACTTTCTTGAAGGAATCTTCTGTTGAAGGAATTGGTAGAATGCAGATTATTTGAAAATGTAAAATTTTATTTTTGTTTTACTTTTAGGTACTTAGATCGTAAATGTTGTGTATACTTATAATTGGCGTAAATATAGGAACAAAATCTGTAACTAAAAATATATGTATATATAAATGTAAGTATATGTTATGCTGTTGGTGTACCTTAATAAATAAATAAATAAATAAATAAAATGCCCTGTGTGTACTTATGTACACACATTTATCATTATACTATGTTTCTACAAAAGTGCCATTAGAGTTAACACTTCCAAAGTATCTTAATGACATCTCATTTTCAAAATATTGAAATTTTTTTCACTTAGGCTCAGGAGCAATTTATAGCCACTTTATTAGCATAGATGGTTTTTTGAATTTAAGTTGTTTTTTAGCAGGGATGGAACTATCGCCCTGCTGGACCAGATGGTGGGCACCACCACGAAAGCCACAGCTCGCCAGGTGACCACCAATGGCTCAATAAATCCAGCGACACAAGCTGCCATCCTCGCTGCTGCTGCAGTAGCACAGGTAAAAGCATTTAATCCATTGTCTTACACTTTAACATATATACATTAACTATTTTAGCACATTTATATTTCAGAATTCTATAATATTCTTTCAAAATATAACTATAGAAATATTAATTGGTTATTTACAATTTTTATAAGTACAGTTTGTAACAGGAGTGGCTTGTAAAGTTTTTGGGTGGTTCTAGACCTCAATACCTATTGATTCAGTCCAATGTCAGGGATTCTCAATGAATCTTAATTTATTTGATTTTCTTTGTAATTAAATAGCAAAAAATCAGATTTTCACTAGTTATTGAAATAAAATCAAATTAATTTAGATTCTTTTTATATGAAAAGTTATCAAGGAAGCAGGCGATTTACCCTATGCTGAGTGATTACATACACCCATGGACATCAGCAATAACTGAGGGTTGCGACTTTTTTAAAAGTTGCCCCCAGTAGTGGCTCTCACTTACTGGATAAAATACGAAAATATAATACTTCCACTTAATGCCGGTCTTCTGTGGGCTCTTGTTTTGCATCCCGGATGAGTCTGCCTGCCCATTTATGCTCAGTAATTAAGAACTGAACATACATTAGGTTGAATCTATTGGTATTGGACGTTTTCGTCCTTCGCCCAAGTTTGTTTCGCACTATATATTAGATGAATTAACTTATTTTCTTTTTTAAGGAAGCATGTATGCATATTTGTTTTTATTTTATCCTATAAACTACATAGTCTAAAAAATTCATAAAAGTACATTTTAATCTGTCACAGTTCTCGTTTCATTATTTATTTTAAATGTAATTCCTTTTTTTGATATTTCTTAGGACTTGATTACATCAACATGGAGCTTTTGGCACTGATTTTTTAATTCAATTGCCTAAGTAAAGTAAACTTCTTACATTTTGATGGATTTTCACAACATCTGGTGCATTATTGGCATTTTTCAATTATATTTTAATAGATGTCCTCTTTTGTTTCCATTTTACAGAATTATGTACTCATAGGCTGATTTAAAGCCATTGCCAAATTATTTGATAAACAACTTAGATTGTAAACAACATCCTGTAAACTTTATATATTGACAAACATGACATTGATGCATTGGATTTGCAATGTAATAAAATTTTTGTTCATACAAATAACTGTTAATTTGAATTTAGATAATAGTTCATATTTAGAGACATTTAGAATTATATTGTTTAAATTGCCTCTTTATAATTTTATGTTCTGCCCAAGCTTGCCACTTAGATTATTCCCGATCTTGCCAGCTTCTTCTGATCATTATTTTTTTATTTCCACCATTAGCATAGTAGACTCAGAATATGTTAAATGATCTAGTTTTAAACTTATCAACCTGCCATAATTTTTTTATAATTATTTTATGCACATTTATTATAGTTTTGTTGTCAATAGTCTTATAGATAAATTACAAATTAATAGTTTTTGAAACAAACTTTCAAAGCATATTGATTATTTTCACAGGTGGGTTTTTATTAGTAGATGAATACCATGTATAAAATTAGTCTTGAGCTACGTCAGCTTTTGATTTCATATCTTGCGGACATATGAAAATGTTAGCCATAATACCTAAAGAATTTCAATCAGACATTTACTAAAATTAAGAGGGAAATCAAAAGACAGGCGTCTAATATTATAAAAGTTTTATCTACATCCTATTACTATTCTTAGCTTCATCAGACATAGGAGTAATAACATAGTGGGTTACATTAGCATACTTGGAATAGGCATACGTGGCGAGAACTCGGGTGGTAATCGCGGTGGCGAGTAGGCTCATGGGCTTAACGTTTCCGTCGCTGGGGTTGGGGGGGTGTGTGGGTTAACAGACGTTTGTGGCGCAGCGTCGTATGGCGGCGCCCGTGCAGCCGGCCGCCGCCGCAGCGGCCGCGCTCTCGGCCGCCAGCGCCATCCCGCCTCCCACCTCGGTGCAGCAGAAGCTCGAGCTGCTGCAGGCCAGGACCGAGTCGCGCTACAGGGACAAGCGCGACGACTACCACCCGGACGACGACAAGGAGGATGGCCAGGGTGTGTACGGTTGTCACGTTATATGTTACAAGAGTTTGTTATCTATGGTATCGCGCACTGTGGTACAGCCACGCAACTGTCTTCCCTGTTGCATGAGTGGGAATGTCCTTCCGGGAAAGGAACACAAACTCACAGTATAAATATTTGCTGGACACATTTTGACACAACATTCTCTAGAATCAATCTAAGCAACACTTGTACTATGGGTACTAGACATCTGATAAACATACTTTTTTTGTAACACACAATATTTTTCCAGTAGTAGGGCTCGTACCCACACCCTCTAGCGCAGGGCAGGTTCACCCACTACACAAATTGGGTTGTCGAATATAATATTTAATAGTGAAAATACTGGCGTGGAGCTGTTATATTTTCTTGCTTCGTCTGACGAGTGATATAATCGGGGCCTACTTTATTGGAAAGTGGCGACGAATCTGCAACCCTACGGGTGTTGCAAATGTTCATGGGCTGCGGACATCATTTAACATCAGGTGATCCCCCAGCTCCCTTGCCATCATCTTACATAAAAAGAAATCTATTTCTATGATGCTATTTATTACTGAGTGGGATATGTGCTGCGGCAGGTAGTAAGCCATATGATTTTTGAATTTAACAATAGTGGAGCACTAACTTGTATTAAACTGTTAGAAGTATTTTTTTTTGAATGTTCTGAATTTATGTTGATAAGGAGAGCTGTTGGCAGGGCCGCCCGGCGAGACTGCAGCGGAGCGTAGAGCACGACGTCGTCGCACCCGCTGGATGGGATCGGAGCATGACAAGACTTTCATCCCGGGTCTGCCCACCGTTCTGCCATCCACGCTGACCCGAGACCAGGAGGAGCAATACTTACGTGAGTTATATGTCTCTTGTCTAAATTCCACCCTCTCCTTGTGACAATTAGTATGCTGGAGGTATTCAGTAACATGCTTTTTATAGGGGAAATAGAAGCAGAAGCCACTTGTTTTAAACCTCCACTTCCTGTTACTCATGATTTTTTAATTAAACTACATAGCTTAGTCTATTGTTCTATTATGCTACTGAATTTGTAAGTTGACAGCTTTTCAACAAATTGTTTTTTTATATATATTCTGTGTTAATTATAATCTGTAAACATTGAAGTTAATAATTTTCAGGAAACTTTTTCATAATTCTAGGATAAGTTTAATTTACGAATTTTTATTTTTATTTAGGTATTACTACTTCAATGTCTCTAATTAAAAAAAATTTTTGCAATTTGTTTGAAATTTTTTTGAGTTTTTTCTGTGTCTAATGCTATTATCCTTCTTTCATAACAGGTTTAATGTATATTTTTACTATTAATTATTGATTTAATTTGGTCTTTAGTTTAGTACAGAATTTAAAAATTTTCTTTTAAGGTTTTTAAAGTCTTGTAAAAAGATTTGATACAACAATAAATTATTTTTAACTAGCTGCTGCCCGCAACTGTGTCTGCGTAGAATAGGCTGAAGGCGGCGAAGGACATTCAGACAGAAAGACTTATAAAAATATTCAGACAGAAAGAGTTATAGCCTATGTATTATTCTGATGTATAAACTATATTATTGTAAAGTTTCATTAAAATCCATTCGTGAAAGAGTAACAAACATCCATCCATAAATATGGATAATATAACTTTCACCTTTATAATATTAGTAAGGATAGAGACAAAATTGCTGTAATGGAAATTAATTTTGTTACCTATTTTCAATAAAATTTCAGTCTCCTTTTAATTTCTATACATGAAGTTTATTCTTAAACTGTTTATTTATTAGTCTTATTCTGTTACTACAGGCAGTAGTATAAGAAGTAGGAAGTGTTAACAGACTGAGATAGAATGTCCTGTAAATTAAACACAAGGGTAAATTCATAAATGTAATTGATGATATTGTATTGTTTTTTGTTTTAAAATAAATTTAATGAAATAGCAATTAAATGAAAAACAACAATTTAATGAAAAAAAATTTAATGAAGTTTAACATAAAATAGTCTTATGTAAAGGTTTCAAGAAATAGCCCTATAGACTGGGAGGTATATTGATGATTATGGGAAGTCGTAGGTTATAGGCAGCTTGCATCCTTTGAGGGATGACAATCGTACGGGTAGCTCCTGTCTGTCCGTGAGACTGACTAGGGGAGGTAGGTGGTAGGTGGTATGTGGGTGGTGCGGGTTGGTGTCTAATCGCGGCGCCCTGCGTGGTGTGTGGTGGTTTCCAGTTCAGCTGCAGATCGAGGAGGTGAGCAGGAAGCTGCGGTCTGGCGACCTGGGCATCCCGGCCAACATCGAGGAGAGGTTCGCCATGCACCGACTACCATCACTGAGTATCGATGAGCAATCACCCTTTAATCAATACAATTAATTAATTTATTGGACTTAATCACTTCACACCTTCACCCTGTGGCCGCGCCCTGAACCATTTTTATGCCCGTATAGAAACAAAAATTCATGATTTAATTTTCGACCCGCCAGTCAATTCAACGTCAATGTTGAAATATCATTATTTTAAGCTTTTATGAACCTATCTTCTATCGGTTTGCACATTTAAACTGTTCCAATGAAGGACTGGTTTCTCCAAAAAAATTAGTTCTTAAAACTATTATCAGTAACCAAGGTAACTGAAAGTGCAGAGTGAGAATATACGATTAGCATATACGATTAACCAATGCCACCACTAATTCGACAGTTTTCGTTTTTGCAGGTTTCTAACTGAACGACCGTTAATTAAATTAATTTAATAAAAACTAATACGGTCCTAATCGATAATAATGAGACTCTTTTCAGACACGCAGGTTAATCAATTTAATTGTTTTCAGCAGCGCTAACTTTGTTTCACTAATTTTTCAGGTTAAACTTGAAAATTAATGAGACTGACTTAATTTTTTTTGTTCTCAGGGATCTTAGGTTTCTTTAGGACTAGGCTATAGGCTTATCGGTGCACTGGTTCATGAAAATGTCATTATGTAGCAAACTCTCTATGCCTGTTTGGTACATTGGCTGTACTTAAAGTTTTGGTTTAATTGTTGAAATTAAAGTTACCCTTAAAGTGAAGCCCCAATGCCTTTAGCAGTCGTCGGGAGTGAGCAAAAATAGTAACAGAGTGGTTTTTCTAGACAATATTATGTATGATGTAAATATCTACCAATTGGTTATCCATATTCTGTTAAAATGTTTCTTTGTTTTGAACTTTCATACTTGTACAACAAGTGTTTATTATAATCTTTAATTTCTTACCGGCTTGCGCAAAGACATTCTGCGAAAACCAAATAAAAATAAAAAAGAAATTCGCAGTTATTTCTGTCTATGTATTAATTGGTAATGTTATTTTCATAGAGATTAATAATTTTGATTCAAATAAGAAGGATTATGCATTTTATATATTATTATTTTGAGTGTTTACCGTTGGTTGATATTTATCCCTCAATTCCTATGCTTTATTTAAAAAAATCCATTTAAACTTTTTCTTGGGGTATTTTTTCGTTAGCACCCTATTCGATCCTTACTATTTTTTTTATCTTTTATATAATCCTGTATTGAGAAAATAAACTCAATTCAATTGAGTCGAGTATTGGATTAATATATATAAAGCATTGTTGCTTGTAAATCCTCAGTGTAAAGATCTTGTCGGGTGCGTAGAGGCGCGTAGCTCGTCGTAGCGGCGCGTAGCCGGCGCGTGCTAATCAACGCGTGCGTTGCAGGTCACCGTCGCCGGAGCCCATCTACTCTACGGACGGCAAAAGGCTGAACACGCGCGAGTACAGGACCCGGCGCAAGTTGGAGGAGGAACGCCACCGTCTGGTGCAGAGGATGCAGCAGATCAACCCGGACTTCAAGCCGCCCCCAGACTACAAGTTTGTGAAACTTGATTATATTCACCACTTCCCCTATTTATGTCTGCAACTAGCTGTTTTTTTATGTGACAAGGTGTTAAGTGATAACCTCTACCCATGGATTTTTGCAACACCCGTAAGGTTGCATAAAAAAAAAAAAAAAAAAAAAGCGTTGCCACCTTTTAATAAAGAGCGCCCCAGCTAGCTCGCTCATCAGGCGAAACGCAGAAGTGTTATACACTTTCACTTCCCGCCACGACAGGTCCGTCGTAGCGTGGCCCTACCACATTAAGACTTGTTTAAGGGAGAGAAACCATCTTCAAGCTAAATGATAACATGTGCTTTCATACCATTTGTGTCTTTCAGTCAAAAATGAAATTGATATGTTAAATAATATATACTTGTCCCTCAGGCCGCCAATCATTCGTGTCCATGACAAGGTGATGATTCCTCAGGAAGAGCATCCCGACATCAATTTTGTGGGGCTCCTGATTGGACCACGAGGCAACACCCTCAAAGGTAACTGAACTTTAAGAAGCTTAAATGCAAAATGTAGTTAGATTAAAAATTTACGCGTTATCATTCATAACTAATCAAATTCATTTTCATTAAGTTAAAATAATCACATTCCAATTAAGATCATTGAGGTTGGAGGATTCCTCATAAATGTATTCAGATCTATTCAGATTTAAGAATATTTTAATCTGATAATTATATAGTTAATTAAAATTATGTCCGCTATAAATATTAATTTCATAAAACCATTTCAGCAATGGAGAAAGAGACTGGGGCTAAGATCATTATCAGAGGCAAAGGTTCTGTGAAGGAAGGCAAAGTGGGAAGAAAGGATGGGCAGCCACTGCCTGGTGAAGATGAGCCCCTCCATGCATACATCACTGCAACAAATGCCGACTGTGTCAAGAAAGCCGTTGAAAAGGTAGACTACTTTTAAGCAGTGCCTTTAACTGGTAAAGGTGTATTGGTATTTACTACCGCTATTCTTAAAAAGCCCTTCTTTCTAAAAAGCACCAATGATTTCATGTCACATACATAAAACAGGACGTAATCTGGTAAAATTATCATGTTGGTTCGTTGGCTATAAACTATAGCTTATTACAAAGGTCTTTTTGATGTGAAATTAAGTGAACTTAGGTAATTGATTACTAATCTTAACCTAGATGGAAATGCATGCATTATACTGGCTTCAGTCGCCGTTAATAAAGGTTGGTTATTCAATGAATGATGAAAAAGCATAAAAGCATTCATAAGCAATAAAGGATGTTATATAGATTATTCGAGTCCTATATGTTATATAGGACTCGAATTCTAGCCACAAATAGTGAGTGTTAGCAAACAGTGAATTGTGACTGTATAGTAATTAATATTATAATGAATGTTTGGAAGTGTGTTTGAAAGACGTAGAGACGTAGAGAGAGTATTGTGATGACGGCTGATAAAGGAAAGTGGAAGGAAAGAACATGTTGTGACGACCCCACCTAGAGTTTGGAAGTGTGCGTAGATTGCCTGTAATGAGACTTGAGTAATTTTCGCGTGTTGCAGATCAAGGAGGTGATCCGTCAGGGCGTGGAGGTGCCCGAGGGCCAGAACGACCTGCGGCGCATGCAGCTGCGCGAGCTGGCGCAGCTCAACGGCACCCTCAGGGAGAACGACGGCCCGCGCTGCGCCAACTGCACCGCCACCGACCACAAGACCTGGATGGTAACACTGTCTCTTTCTCTCTCTCTCTCTCTCTCTCTCTCTCTCTCTCTCTCTCTCTCTCTTTTACACCATCTAATGTAGTGTCTCTCAAACTTTTTTTGCTGTACCACCAACTTTAGAAAAAATTTAAAACTCAATGCCCCCCCACAAACTCTTTCATCTAAACTTTTTAGAGAAAAACGTATTTATAAAAATAAACAATAATGTAGGCTGTTCTATAAACTTCCACTTGAGTTCTTGAAAATACTGTATATCATTGTCCCAATGGATTTTTGAAATATGTTTTTAAACTCTCAAAGGATTTAATTTAGCGCCCCCAATATTATTTAAAGTCTCATTCGCCCAAAATGCAGCCTCTTCTATACCTTTGTTTGTATGTTTATCAGAGAAGTTATAGTGAACAACTAATGCTTTGCGTTTCAGTGCCCTGATAAGCCGAACGTGACCAATAGTATTGTGTGTTCTTCGTGCGGCGGTGCGGGCCACATCGCGCGTGACTGTCGCGCCAAACGACCGGGCCAAGGGCAGATAATGCACCACGCCAACAAGGTGAGCTCACGTTCCTATATTGTAGAAAATACGATTTTTTTTATGTGAGAATGTGACAAGCGATCTGAGAGTTCACCCAATGTTAAGTGATAACCGCCGCCCATTGGCAATTGCAGCACCCGTGGGGTTGCAGATGCGTTGCCTTTTAATAAAGTTATCCCAGGTACCTCACCCATCAGACGAAACACTGAAGTATAACACTTACGCTTCCCCGGAAGGATCTGCCCATTCATGCAACAGTAAAGACTGTTGCGTGGACCTACCTATCTTAATATATTTAGTGGATATTAGACAGCGGATATTTTTGAGATAGATAATGGAGAAAGTGGCAAACAAATTTCTGCTTACTTTTTTTTGCGAAACATTGGCGAGGAAGCTGGGTGCTTACCTGCTGTTAAGTGCTAACCGCCACCCCTTACAGGAGTATAATACTTCCACACACGCCTGTTTTCTATGAGGTCATGATGCTAAGACAAATGAGCCTGCCTACTAGTGCAACAGTAACATCTTCTGCCTCTGCATGCCCTGTCATTCCACTTCGTAAATATATATGAAAGTTGTACTAAAAGTAATCACTCTATTTATGTCCAGTTATTTATTCATCAACTACAATGTGATATAACATTAGTATGAACAGTGTTACTAAAAGCATGTGACTACTATTTATGGTTTTAATCGACGGGAAATGCTTCCTGTGAGGTAATTAGAAAAGATGATATAGGGGAGTTTGAGTAATTTAAAGTTCGCTTTCCCAGGCTAAGATCGACGAGGAGTACATGTCGCTGATGGCGGAGCTGGGCGAGGCGCCTCCGAATGCGGGGGGCGGCGCGCCGCCTCGCCGGGGCCCGGGGCTCTTCCAGCAATCGCAGCCTCCGCGCGCCATCATGGCGCCCCCGGGTACTCTCCGTCTTATATGCCTTACTTATATTTTAAATAGACGAAACTACTTCTTGTTTTATGACAAAAATTTGCAAGCCTGTTGTTCCCCTGGTACCGAGTGGTCATATTAGTTCAACTTTTTTTTACTTTACAAAATATTTAATATTCTAATTGATTCCCCTTATATTTTGAATAAAATAATGTGCACATGCAAGAAATATGTCTTAATTTCACACACCTAAAAGACCTAATTATGTTTTGAACACATTTATATATTATGCAATATGCTTTCTTCAATTCTTCTGTATACTTCTTTTTTTCTACTCTTTTAATAGTCAGTTGTAGATTGGCTTTCTAAGGATACATATAATAGGACACTACATATTTTATTCCTTGAGTTTTTTTACTATAACTGTCCGTAACACTAAAAAAAAGTTCCAAGTAGCTATGTACCTGTTGTGTAGTGTATAAGGTTGATATGATATTTACCTGACAGGCATGATTCCAGCGTCACTGCCGCCGCCGCCGGGCGCCTTCGCCCCGCCGCCGCCGCCCCACGTTCAGGCCGCCCAGCCGGCGCCCTGGCTAGGTAATGCACTCGCCGTCACCACCAACACCACAATTCCCATTAAAACCTTACCACACCTATCCCGTATGGATATCTCACATATCTCACTCAATTATGCCTCATCATTTCTTGCTATTGATTGATTGATTGAATATTCTTTAAAGCATACATCCTGGTAAAAATATACATTAAAAATAACAATTACGTAAGGGTTGTACAATAGGCGGCCTTATTACTTAAAGCAACTTCTTCCAGGCGTTTTATATAATTAAGACCTATTCGATTTATATAATTAAGAGATTTTTAATTATTTTCCAACACTTCCCCCTATTTGGTCGTTTACATTTCGGGTCCTCCGGCCGGCTCAATTTAGAAACCATCTTTAAAGGTTATGTGTTTATTGGCCGGTGAATATACTTGCAGCGGGTGTGGCGAACAATCAGCCGCCGCCGCCGGGCAGCGCGCCGCTGCCGCCGCCCTCCTTCCCGCCGCCACCGCCGCCCAACCACCACCAGCACATGCAGCACCACCAGGTAGGGTTAAGGTTAAGCTTCTTTAGTTATCACATCAAATGACACCATTAGAGGCCCTCGAGGCATTGGACTGCTCAAGATCAATTAATCAAATAACTTATATTTATAATTACGACTAAAATTTTATCAAAAAATTGGGAAATAATTGTCCATAGATTCCATATTCTGTTTAATATATGATTATTTTGTTGAAAGGAAAGGAAAAGACACTTTATTTTATATGAAGTTTGTAAAAATTACCCATAAAGTTTGTAGAATCCTTGTAAAATAAAATTTTCAGTCAATGCAATGCTTATTTTAATTGCTCTTGTTTGCAGGGTGATAACCAAATGGGCGGAGGTGCGAATATGCCGGGCGGTCCTCACATGCCTCCGCCACCTCCTGGTCAGTATTCAGAATTGTTTTAATGTTGCAATATTTTTAAATCTGTGATAAAATTCGCTAGAAAATTAGTTATTGGGTAATAACATCCAGCGCAATTAGCACCTCATCATTGTTAATTGCAAACCAATATTAGTAAATAGTTGATTGTTAATTTTCATAGTTATTATTAATAAATTAATGATATACAAACCCTAATTTAAGGCAAATAATTTATCAGGGGTTGCAAGAACTTTATTAACTTACTGTTGAGTTTCTTGCTGGTCTCAACAGAAACTACCCTCGGAAATAGTGGTAGCTTACTTAAACTTGTGTATTAATTATTTATGTAAACTACGACGTTTCATAAGAGGATGCAAGCGCCTTTTAGAATAAAGATATTTTGAATTTGAATAATTGTGCGATGAGTAATGGGTGTAGTGTATTTGCAGGCATGATGGGCATGGCGTGGCGCGGCGCGTTCGGGCCGCCCTGGGCGGCGCCCGCGCCCCCCGCCTTCCTGGCGCCGCCGCCGCCGCCCCCGCCTGCCTCCTCCTGCTAGCGGGGCCCTCAGTTGATCGTCAAGTGGATCAGACTCTATGCCATACATAAGCAACTTTGAATTGCTGCTAGCGGGAACCATCAGCGAGGGCAACACTTTCCACTCGTTTCGTTTCTTCAATGAATTGATCGTTAAGTGTATCAGACTGACCCGAGCGCAATTCCAGCAGCAAGATTATTTTATTATCATAAATAAATAACTATAAATTGCCAGCTTGTGGGAACCACCAGCACGGACCGATCCCCGAAGACAACACTTTCCATTGGACTGTTTTGTTTCTTCGATGAATTGATTGTTAAGTGTATCAGACTCGCCAAAGCGCAATTTAATCCAAAAGATTATATATATATATATATATATATATATATATATTATATACTATAAATTGGACTCTGCTTACCCTGTGGTAGCAAATCATTGTTTCCCTGATGTTTTATGTATTATGATTATATAGTATGATTATATAGTATGCTTAATTAGATACCAATGCCAGTAACTCAAAAAAGGAAGAAAAAATTAATAGTTTAGGTGTTTACTCTTGCAATTGACAAATGAAATAGGATTAATATCACCCAACACTTTTTTGACCTGTAAAAGTTTTTAAATGGAAGATGCAACTGATTTTTTAAATAATGAAGTAAAGGGTGTAAATAGCATCTTAATAAGTTTTTATTTTCAATGGTTCCAATTTCTTTACCATGGATTTTGTTTTGTATTGCACAATTTATGTTTTGATGTTATCACATATGTTTAAAGTTTCTTCAATATATCATTAGCGTAAATATTAAAGTACGTTAGAGGTAAGATAAAAAATCACATTTGACTTGAACATGAAAAACGCCACTACAATTTAGAAAAATTTCTTATTGCCACGTACCGTTTTTACAGTCCAAATTTAATGTCATTCATTGTATTTATAAAATAAAGACTAAAACGTAATGGTTTTTCATTATAATGCACATTTACACATCAAGCAGATGAAAGATATTTTGGCAGAATAATTTTGTACAATGTCTATAGTCTGACTGGTTCCTTTGCTTTATCAGACAAGTTTCAATTCCTTTTTTACTAATCAATTGTGTATAAAGTAAGCATGAAAGGCCTGTTTCAATGTAAGCAATATGATGATAGGTATGATTTACGACACCTCTGCGAGGCGGCAGGCTGTAGTTTTATAACAAACTGTAGTTATAGCTCATCCTGTGGGTGCTCGCCTTGTAATTCAATGTACTTGAGCAACCTGATTTTGATCCCCGATGCCGGCACCAATGAAATTTTTAATTTTAAGTGCTGAATTATCATGTGCTCGGCGGTGAAGGAAAACATCGTGAGGAAACCATATTTTCTATTTCCTATATTACTTTGATTGAACTAAATGCATTTTTAATTTTTTTACTGATTCTAGACGCCATCTAATGTGCCATTATTTCTAAAAATGCATAAAAACCGAGTACGTAAGATTTTGAGATTTTCCCGCAGTGTTGATATCGACTGTTTCGCTTGGTGGCTAGTATCTAGTCGCGCTTGTTCGAAACTTGGCAGTGTTGAAATTTTTTTGACAGTGTATTTTTTAAATTTCCACACACTTATAATTCATTCAAAATCAACAGACTAGAACTAAAAATGTGCAAAATGTGTAATTTTTACATTTTTACAAAAATTTTAAGTTAATACTATTACATTTTAAATCACGCATAAAAACTTAACACTGGCAACCCGAATGGCGTAGTGGGTAGTATAGCTGCCTTCGGCGCCAAAGGGTGTGGGTTCGATCCCCACTACTGGAAAAATGTGTGATGTACAAAGTGTTTTTCTAGTGTCTGGGTGTTTATATAAGTATAATATGTATATATTTACAAAAGAAAAGTATGTTTATCAGTTATCTAGTATCCATAGTACAAGCATTGCTTAGTTTGGGACTAGAGAACGTGTAAAAATGTGTCCTCACATATTTATTTATTCATATAAAAACTAAGTCCGTTTTGATATAATACTATAAACTTGACGGCTTTGACAAAATTAATACTCGTAAGTCTCAATGTAAAAAAATTCGCCTATTAAGCAAAAATGAACACGAATGTTTCGAAGTGGAATTTAGGCAAGTAATTTTAGTTCTAAGAAAGCAATAAATAAACAGTAGTATTTTTAATTTAACGAATTATTATTTAATATATTAACTGTTATTTATATTATAATTGGATTTTGATATTATAATTAGATTTTTAATGTCAAATTGTGAGTGTTGCGTATTTTGTGTATTTGCAGAGGAATTAAATCGATTTTTTCCAATTTAACATAACGTCAACTGGTGTTCAAATGACAAGAAGGTGCACGGTTACAATTCAAATTTGCTATTAATCTTCAAAGAGAATTCAATCACTACGTTTAAGAGACGAGACTTCCATACTAGCCAAAAATATCAATTTACGCGGCATTCCAATACCAACCATACCACAAAAAAGATGTCAAACAACAGGAGTACCAACGTAACGTGCCAAATAGTGCTTAACCAAGCTAGCTTAGCTTTTTATCGATATCGATAAAATATACTAGTTAGAAACCGAGGTTTCCACTTAATATTTTTTATCAATTTTAGGTAAGTATAATTTGAGTCCGTATTTATGTCTCAATGTTGATAAGGGGCTATTTGGTACTAATACAAAATTGGACTTAAATGCGGACCCGAAATAAAATAAAAAACGGTTAAAATTTATATAGTTTAGCTTAGTGGTTAAAGCGTCAGGCCGCGAATGCCGAAGACGTGGGTTTGTTGTGCTTGATCTTTTCGTACTTTTTCTACATATTTTAATATTATTAAATCTTAAGTGCAAAGATTAGCACTATAAACAATTTAAATTACTTATATATGATTTAAATGTTCACCCCGTTTTAAGACTGAAATAATATATGCGTATTTGCCATTAAGTCTTATTTATTACTATAAGTATATGAATACATAACAAAAAAAATAATTAGTAATATTCCCTTTACTTAATAATACAAATACTTAATCATTTTAAGTATCACAGTAAAATATAATTTTAAAAACTAAACTACTTTTTTAAAAACTTACTTTGTTCTCTGTATCGTATTAATTGCGCAATGTTTCATGTAGTTCAATTCATCTGTAGATATGAGTAAAGAATTGATTAACAATTTGCAATTATGTATCGAAAACATTCCCAAAGCGGTTTACGTTTTTATAAGATTTAATATAGTGAATTTATTGTATATCAATCTACAAAAAAATATTTTTGATGTTAATTGAGTCAATAAATTAAATGAATAGGTAGAATATTAAAAATCACGTGTAGGCTGATGCTCACTCTAAGACTTTATCGTAGAAATGTCTTAACAGCAGTACAGAGTAAAGTATACTTGTTGTAGTATATACTGTATTTGTATTTATTACTTTCTTGTTGTATAGGGTGAGGCACCCGTGACCCACCCTATTAGAAGTTTGCACTGTTATAACTTTAATCTCATTTATGTTGCTTGGGTAAGAGTAAGAAATAACCTAGCCCGTCCTAGCCTAAAAAAGGATTTCGCTTGTGGCGTATTACAGGCAACATTTAAACAAGAAGAAAATAATTATTATCCATTCTCCTTTACCGTGATTTTTAGTTAAGAAAAACCAACATAAAATATGCATTTTGTGCGATAAACAAAAGTCGTGTAGTTTATTGCACAAATGGATATTTCATGTGATATCGCACCAATGTGGTCGCCGAAAGAAGTTTTCTCGCGCGAATGTTATCGCAATGAATGCGAGGCATCATAATAAGCAAAATTAATTATTTTCTTCACCACTAGAACGTACTGCACAATCAGTCTTCACACACCATTTCAGGCTAAATTTCACAAGGACTATCAACGTCAGTTATCAATCAGCACTTATTTCGGCGCTTCTTGCAAATGTTTGTCACTAATTAAGGGCGATTCGCTGCACAGTTTGTTCGCGGGCGTCGCAGCCTGGAAGGTCATCTGCCCGTTACCTATGAGACAGTTCAAGAAGACGGTGCGCAAAACAACGGATAGTAGAACGAGGCCGACAGCCAAAAGTGCCACTTCCAAAGCGAGCATCACGTAAGGACCCGCCACGTAAACGAGCCAGAAGACTCTCTTCACGTCATCTTTAAGCTCTGGCTGGATCTGTAAAATTGAAATAGTTACTAATAATCTCTCATATCCTCAACATTAATAATGGAGGTAATGGAGATGTTTTTTTTATCTTTTTCTTTACTTTCTTATGGTTGAAAACAGTTATATACACGAACTATGATATACGTTAAAAATTCACAATATGTAAATCTTTTAGCGATCGTATTTTGCAAATTAGCGAAGTTATTGTGTAACTGGGCCGATTACAGTGGCAACAGGGTCACCATTTAAATACATTTTTTTTACCTATAACATAGTACACAGTTCACATTGCGAACTGCCATTTATACCTAGTCAGAGTGTATTTTGCTTTGCGTTGCGTGGTTTTTATGTTTACGGAAGATCGCGCCATAACTAACACTAATCAAAAACTTGAGATGGGACAGTACTTTGACCTAGATTATTACGATAAATTCTCCCTCTTACCACTTTGAAGTATGCAATGGGTACGGTCATGTTCGAGAAAGGCCTGGCCGGCGGGTTGAAGCCCACGTCAGGCACCGGAACGTTGAGTTGGAAGGTCATCGAAGTAAACAGCTCTGTTCCCAGTTTCTGAAACATTCACTAAGATGACATTTAAGAAGATTTTGGCAAAGACGGACCGGCTTGGGATCCAATATTTAGAAAAATTAAATGCAAGTACACTGCAAGACTTCGAGAAAGTTCTTACCGAGGATGGCCACGCTTTCTTTTTCCTTGAGGATTCCAGTCCAATGCTTGTTTAGCAATTTGATTGGAACCTCTCCGGAGCGTGTGACCGATCCATTTCCGTTGCCTGATCTGGCAGTCAATCGCGCTGTCATTGCTTTTTCCAACAGTTCTATGTTAGAGATGGTCTAGGGCCAATAAATTCCGAGCATGTGAGGAAGACATTGGTTGTCAAAGACTTGGGTTTTTCGTGAAATGTTCTTTGTTACCTTCCACGTTTCGCACCCGTAATTTGTTTGGATTTGATAAACTGTTGTTTACACTATCTGTCTGTGTTTTTTTTCAATAAACTTAAGGATTTAAGTAATCTTTTTAGTACACCCTCTTGGTTCTTTTCGTAAAAGTACCTACACGTTATCCATTCTGATTCACAGTGTCACCTAACATCGCTTGTATGACAGGGAAGGGATATCTGATCCACATTATAAAAGCTCTAGTACTGGAATGAAGACATCCACGAAATTGAGTTCTGTATGATAAATAGAATATAGTTGCACAAGTAGCCAATGTCGTGAAAAGGGGATCTCTCACCGGTTCTATCAAGAAGGCGCTGCCGTGCTTCCCCTCCTCAGGAGCTATTCCGTCGATACGCTCGTACAGCTTAGGGTCGGCGCCGTAGAAGTGGGCGTTCGACATCATCACTGGTAGACCTGATATCAGCAACTCGTGTTATTACATTTGTGTAGTCTTAAGGCCCATTTACATGGTGCCAGTTTCTTGCCTGTTGTATACAATTAAATTGAAGCAATAAATGAGTTGCATGGTCTAAACAACAAATGGTCTAAACAATTATTGCGCGCAATTTATTGCATTCAATTATTGCTCTTGTATGTACAAGAAAATGACATCGTGTAAATGGGCCTTTATATTTTATCTTGAAATTAATTGTGAATACCGTTGCCCGTATCATCTACAGAAACTGAGAGGTTTGAGATTGTTGCCTCATCAGACGAAAGGAGTTATTCCCGGTTTATTCCCCGGACGAGCCTGCCCATTCGTGCAAGAATTTTCCCAAGAAATTCGTGCAGAAGCCGCTGATAATTAACACCGTAGACATTTGGTTGACAGTTTTTTTTTTGACAGTTTTTTATAATACGCTAGTTGATTATTTATCATGGTACCTATGGTTGTTTAAATGATATTATGTCTTAGGCCGAATAGTACCTAGATATTCGGCCGAATAGGATAAAACTAAACGAATAGGTTGCATGTATGTACATGAATAGTCTAATTTTCGTTACAAGTCTATATTTTATGCTTGGGTATACTATACTGTAGCCGTGACAGCTGAGTGTGAGCTCGCTTTTAATTCAATACTCGAGCAACTTAAGTTCAAATGCCGGTGTCGGCATGAGAAATCTTTAATTTTAAGTACCTACTTATAATGTGGTAGGGCCACCCTCCATCTACAAACCCTCGCCATGGCATGGTATCTACTAGGTAGATGCCATGGCCCATGGGCATCTACCTAGTAGATGCCCATGGGCCGCGGTATTCACTTAACATAAGTTGAACTGCCTGCTCGTTTGACAACTTTTCACATAAAAAAACAACTTATTATGTGCTCAGCTGTGAAGAAAAAATCGTGAGGAAACCTACATATTTTCGAAACAAATAAAATAATTCGAACTGACTCGGCAACGTAGTTGATAAGCTATTAGCTTCGGCGCCGGAAGTCATCGGTTCGATTCAGACACAGATAATTTTTCTTGAAGTGAGTATTTGTTTACTAAAGAGTGACGTCCGGTAAAACGTAGCCAAAAACCGCCAACAATATGATTCACATGTTATTCCGACCCCACCTAGGTGGATAAGGGCATGATGATGATAATAATGTATTCGAAGACACGTGAAGTCTGCCAAACCGCAGTGGGGTTGCATGTTGGACTATGCTCTAAAAAGCTTTGTACAGAGGAGGCCTTCGGCCGATAAAGGCCGATAATCAAATACATAAAATAATTATAATAAAAAGTACCGTAAAAGCAAGGGGAGAGATCGGACAGCCCGTCGACACAGCCCAAGCGGCTGCATAAGCACTCCGTATCGGGGTTCTTGCAGTAGGTGTGATTGCCAATTTTGTAAAGGTACGCCTCGGGGCCGTAGTCCAACTCTGTAATGCCGACATACTCCAACTCTATGATCCTGCAGAAGACGTTGCGGAATAGTCTGATCGGTTTTTCCGGCGACAGCCCCGGCGGGTAGGAGAAGCCTTCGTAGGTGTCCACGAAAGTGTTGCACCGAGTACTGAAATGTGGTCAAGTTTATTGCAGATTTCAAATTATACGCCAATTCGAAGTCTTGCATGTAGAGTGGTAGCTTACCAACATTAGACGCCACTAGAAAAATCTTACCCGTTAGCGTTTACCTAAATTACTGTTTGCTGAAACCGTTATGATGTGTGTTGATTATATAATTACATTGACGGTGGTAGGGCCACGCAGCAGCCTCGGCTGTTGCACGAATGGGCAGGCTCGTTCAGGTAAGTACCACGACCTTACAGAAGACCGGCGTAAAGTGGAAGTATAATACTTTCGCGTTTCGTCTGGTGAGTGAGGTAGCCGGAGCCCAATTTTCAAAAGGTTGTCAACGCATCTGCAACCCTCGGGTGTAGCAGATGTTCATGGGCGGCGGTATTCACTTAACATCAGATGAACTGTCTGCTCGCTTGACAACTTTTCACATAAAAAAAATACAATTTATAATGAATTTATTATAACATTCGACGTGATGAATTCTCGCGTTTACATGAAAACATTGTTTGATCAGGGGGCAGCAAGTCAGTCAGTTTTATTCAACAACATTCGATATAGTAAGCTTTGTTAAGAAGCTAAGAAGCATTCGCATTTCCAAACATAATTGGAAATTACGAGAACGCTTAAGCGGCAAAAATAGTTAGCTAAATAATAAGTGGATTACCCGATTACTAGAACCGAATAATGTAAAGATATGCAGAGATGGAGCGGATATCAACACGAATGTTCGGAATCAACACGAGACAGTTCTTACCTACGCATGAACATATCTGTACCTCAGAGGCATACAATATTAATTCCACATTTTTCAAAATTATTATTCTCACCCCATTAAAATCGCAAGAACAAATTCTACACAATAGTATAAAGCATTACGTCCTACGACGCCTAATTAATAAAATATCCATCATAATCAATAATTCATTCAAGGATTCACTCACGCATTTTTGTCCTCTTCTGTAAAATTTGTGTTTTGTCACATTATGCTGTTTACCTCTGAGGTACAGATATTACAACACAAACAATTAAATGTATTTGTTTCAGATGACGCACCGCTTGGTAGAATCCTCATAGCCCCAGTACGGCAGTCCACCGCCTCCGTTAACCCGTTTTATTTGGAATTTGGTCTCCTCTCTCAGATCCAGCTCTATCCTGTAGTCTCGTGTGTTGTCGTAAAGCTGTAAATCAATGGACTTTCGCTATAATCGATGGCAGTCAAAGGTTCTTTTTTTTATTTGAGAAAGTGGCCAGCGGGCTGGCGGTTAACCTGATGTTAATTGATAACCGCCGCCCATGTACATCGCAGGGTTGCAAATGCAAGCCTTTAAATAAAGTGGGCCCCGGATACCTCACTCATCAGACGAAACGCAGAAGTGTAACACGTCCGTTTATGTCGGTCTGCTGTGAGGTCGTGGTACTTGACATGGAACTAAAGACGACTACAAGTTGACATGGAGCTCCCTACAGCGGTTGCAGACGAGATTCCTAGGACACTAACCAAGGGGTTTCAGTAAGTCCAAAAAAAAAAATAAAGTCCAGCCCAAAGCTATTCTTTCCGAATATACCCTCTGTTTCGAACGAACGAAACGAGTTCTTGATTTCTCAATGGAAATCTCACTGACATTAACTTTATAAAAATTTGCTACATTAGGAATTAAGTTAATAGGACTAAGAAAAAAGCTTTATTGTGAATTTTTTTTACAGCTAAAATCTTAATTAAATAACAACTTATTTTGTAAAATACATATTTATAACGAAATTTCCCATTTATCAGTTCTCGGAGTTTTTATTGAAAACCCTTATGAAATTACTATAATTATGCAGTACACATTAATGATAATAGAACAGGTGGCTGAATAATAAATGATTATCTATTTCGCCACTATAAGCGTGACTAATCCTTCAATGAAATAAAACCTCCGTGGGTGTTATACAATCATGAAGGAATCGTCAAAGTCGGACTACTGTATAAAAAATTATGAATGGTTTTGCAACCTACCTTACTTTAAATCTGGATGGAAACATACCCTGTCCATGAGACCAAGACGCCTGAAGTTAATCCAGCCGGGCATGATGGCGTTGCCAAATGCCAGGAGCGGTTCTTCGTAGCCCCAGAGGTAGTCCTTGACGGGCAAAGTCAGTACCGCCTTCGAGTTGAACTTCGTCGTAAGAAGATTCAAACCCAGCTGGCTCCAAAACGTATTAGTAGATATTGCGGTTGCTATTGCCTGAGAATTAAATTCCACAGCTCTAGATATCTTTTGCAGCTTTCCTTGAAGTAGAATAAAATACCCTGAAAGTCTCTTTTTACCTGACACAAAGAAATTGCTAGGAGAATAAGCAAAATGAACAATTCATTTTTGTTATATTTATAAGAAATTAAGCTTCCCACTGCAAACTGATACAGGAGACGCTTTTAGGAATATTTTAGGATATTTAATAAATGAAAACAAGTATAAAAAAAATATATACTTAAATAATTTTACAACAGAGAAATCCTAAATATATATTTTGAACGACAAATTGTCAAGCAATAAGGCGCTTCATCTGATGTGATGGATTTGCAGATAAGTTGAAAACCATTGAAATTGCGGTCACCTTACTCATCAGACAAGACGCAAAAATATAATACAGTCTACTCTCGATAATTCGACACTTGAATAATTGTTAATTTGAATCTCTCCATAATTTGAAAGTTTTTTCCGGTCCCTTGAAAAATACCCGATAAATTGAATAAAATCAATGTTAATTGGTCCCTTCGGTAAATTGAAGTTGAAAGTATATTATCTTCATCGCCAACATGCAATAATTAGAAGTCCGCGCTTCCCTACTATCTATAAATTGAAGCCTTTATCATGCCCATACCTGTCGATTGTTTACATACATGTACAGACCTGACAATAGTTTACATAAATGAGATATGAGTAAGTTCCCACCATTATTGATAATTCTTTGGGTAATGATAGACTGAAAACACTCGCTCAAAAAAAAGATTGCGGACTTCTTTTCCAAATAAAATTTGTGAATAATTGTATTATTGACTTTAATTGTTACTCCATAATAATAATATAGAAATAATAAATGACGAATTTATTACTCTTATTAACTTGACTCCCCCCTTCCCCTTGTGGTTATTAAATAAGCGTTTACGCTTGTTGTTTTGAACTTTTCACAATTTTTAATTTATCTCTGGTCCCTTGAGTTTCAAATTATCGAGAGTCGACTGTACTTCCTAAGATGACGCTGCTAACCTGCATGCTGATGCGTGGCCCTACCACAAATTTAAAAGTACGTAAGTAAAAATCCTGGATTATTCACTTTTCTCCGGTTGAGATTAACCATAAATCTTGTATGTTTCCAGTTAGTTAATACAGAACTTGGGAGGTCACTCGGCGGTTTTTTCTCCGCAGTAGGATAGCGCTCTATGATATTTTCTGTGTAAAATAGCTTTATTATAGGAAAGACTGGATTTGAATACGAAATTAGATCGAATTCGGTAGAGCCCTTTCCGAGTTACGCAAAATACATTTATATATAAATGAATTGCTCGTCATTATTCCCTAATTCGTGTCATCTGCTGAGAACTGTCTGAAGTAAATAAGTATTTGTCTATGTCTTTCATAAATACAGTTCCTTACTAGTAGGGCTGTGTTTGGAATAGTGATGTTGACATGCGCAGGATCAGCGATGGAAATCTCCGGTAGGAATGTCGCGGTGACGTAAGGTTGATAGTAAAGTTCTTGCGCCTCTTCGTCCACCTCGAAATTCTTATTCAATCGTTTCTCTCTAGATAGGAAAAAATTGCCATTATTTTAGAGCTGTTGCGTTGCCAGCACGAATGGGCAGGTCTGTCTGGGGAAGCACATTCACCATGGGTAATGGTTGTACACCATAACACCTTGGTAAAAAAAATAAAAAGAAGCTAGGCAACAACGAATACTAAGGGTTGTCTAATAAATAGGTGAAAGTTCAATGTATTTCATTATGCTCAGATCATATCAAAATTTGATTATGTTAGATTTAGTATTATTTTAAACTTTTTAGTGCTAATAGAGTTTTTTGAAGTCGGTTCTTTTTTTTTGTTAAAAAAAAACTTTCTGTACATTTTAAAAAACACGATATTCAAACTCACTGATAAGTGAATGGCCCAAACTCCTGCACTTTGAGCTGACGGTCTTCACCGCTGATGAACTCCCTGGCATTTGTCACGTTGAACAGGTAGGCCGAAACGTAGGCACCGTCTATCTCCCCCCGCAGTATATCATAGAGCTGGAAGCCTGGTGCAACCCGCATTTGCTGGTGATGAAAATATGTTTCGATTTATTATGATATATTCGTTAGTCTTATCTCAAATGTTTTATCTGTTTACATATAGAATATTCGTCATGGAATAGTATTAAAGGCGGTAATGGTGATAAAAACTTGATAACATCATCAAACTGAGCGTTTTATCTAAAATTATAATTAACACTGGACAAAGGCCAAGTTTATCGTATGATAAATCATTATTGTAGTTATAAACACAACTGTGTTAATAACTACAATAACTATTACAACACTGTCATTTGAGGAAACATGGAGGACTAAGAAAATTATCTAAAGCATTTTTACATATTTAGCTATTAGATAGACCGGGTCCATCACGAAGCAAATTGTCGCGAGTGCCGTGAGGGAGACGCCCAAAGTTGTCAGGACGATCAGCTTTTCTGGAACAATTAATAATTTTACATGGGATTCAACTAAAACTCCGTCCGCCGTGGCTTGTAAGAATACATTGTCGTAAGAGAGAACTAGGAAATTAAATTTGCCAACTGACCACTGAATTTAACGACGAAAATAAATGTTCAAAAGGTCTAAAATTAGCCTTCGATTAAGAAAAAACTCCCTCAATTTTTTATGTGAGAAGATGGCAAAGAAGCTGGCGGTTCACTTGATGTAAAGTGTAGGCTTGCAGATGCGATGCTCACTCACCAGACGAAACGCAGAAGTGTTACACTTCTACTTCACGTCGGTCTTCTGTGCGGTATTTCCTCGGCTGAACCTGCCCAGTGGTGCAACAGCGAAGACGTGCGTAGCCCTACCGCATTGCTCAAAAACAAATGAAAAATACCACACTCCCTCAAGATATTAACATATACTCGTACTACGTTCTTAAGCTTTTTGGATACACTGATAATCGAAAACCCAAATCGAGAAAATGCCTCGTATATAACAAAATCAACATCAAAACAGAAATCGTGATCATCCAAATGTAATCCTTGCCAAAACGTCAGTTAAAATAATTATGCATATAATTATTAGTGGTCGAGATTTCTTTTAAAGCATATATTATTACAATAAAGGCTATTCTTCTAAGAAATGGTCTGTTTGCACATGAAAATTAAACGGGACCATAACAGATACTACTCACTCTTGGCCAATCTCGGAAGCTTTTTGCACTTCTCAGCAGGCTTCATTGTGGTTTTGCCAGAATTTTCTCAATCACCAGATTAAGATCATGCTTCGCTCCTGTAATCCAAAAAGTAAAGCCTTTATAAATTTAAATTTCAGCTTATTTTTTTAAATAGTTATTGTAATTTTGAACACAGCTAAATTATTCCGAATAAAAATAGAGATCTTTTATTGTAAACTAGTTCACAGGCTTGTATTCTTGACAGTTTTATGGCAAAATTCTTGAAGCAGAGTAAGTCCAATAAATGAATATTTATATCTACATTAAAGAGAAGGAGGCTAACGGGCAAACACTAAAAACTGCATCTCTTCTTGAAGGTCCGTACGTCGTATTGGTTCGGAAATATTGCTGGGTAAACTGATTCCACAAAGTGGCAATGCGGGTCAGAAAATTGAGTGAAATACCGCACAGCGGTAAACTGTGAACCATCAAGGCTTTGTTATGAAACCGAACGATTCTTCAGAGCACTCACCATTATAAATGTGAGAGACAGTGCGAAGAGATGGTATTTTTTTTCTTTTATTCTGATCGAGTCTATGACAAGAACAAGAGTGCCCTCAATAGAAGAAAACACTACAAAGGTCTTTGCGGTACTCGCGAAAACTTGTGTCGTCCCGTCGGCCATGCTCGTACTAGTCTGTCTACTTGTAGTGCCCCTCACGGTGGAAACCTGAGTACCAAACAATTGTCTAACGAGCCAAGGGACAAAAACCGTGACAGAAACTGATAGTTGTTCGGATAAGTGGTCAACTGAATGTCCAACAGGGAAGGTGATTGTAGAATGCACGTAGACTAAGTGATCAGCTGTGGCAAAGTCGTATACAGACCTTCCCGCATGATTGGTACAAGACCCGAGCTAATCATGGACGGGTACCATACCCTCAAGGCTTCTGAGACAGTGAGAACAGATATCCTCGCTAACATACACACAAAGTCCAGAGTTTTCCAATCTGTGCCCCAGATGGGCATATCCCATCAGGCGGAGGAGATATCTGAGGCTCAGTAAGAAAAATCAAGGCCGGCTTCGACTTTCTCTAGGTGGAAGTGGACGGCATTAAGTTTAGATTAAGATTAGTGAAGCTCCCTACATTGCAGCAATCAACAGAGAGTGTGGTAGGAGTTGTGGTAGGTGTGTAGTTGGCCGTAGTGTGCTTGCTACGCTTGCCTTGAGCAGAGGGATTGGAGAACGGAATTTCGCTCCCAAGCCCTACAAGTCAAGGGTTGTCTGAGGATGAATGCTCAGTGGAGGATTCTCCAGAATCATTGGTGTTGGTAACTGGGGTATGTTAATTTTTATTCCACTGCCACGATTTAGCAGATGGGGTTGTTCTCCACCTAGCTCACTCATCGGACAAAAGGCACTTTTATATAAGCACTTTTACTTTACGCCAATCTTTTGTGAGGTCATGAGATATCCTCGGCTTGAGAGAGCCAATTCAGCATCAGCAAACAGAGATGCGTGGCTCTACTATTGTGAATTTGCATTTCGTTCTACCCGTGTTTATCGCGAGCTATCGAATACTCGATCTAGAGCCCTTTTCTTTTTATCTTGAGAATTGTGATTCACAATACTAACAACATCCCATGTCGCATTTACCATAAAGGGCAAGCCTTAATGACATACATGAGAAGAAAAGACATCATTGCAGAGGTTATTTTAATTATCCCTTATCTTTATGATTATATTCCAGTCAGTGCAGAATATCAAACAATCATCGATTGCTCATGCAAGGATATCGGCTTTACTGAATAAATTAAACGCCATTTAGAAGGGGGTCAGTTAATTGAGTGTCGGAAATAAGATAATTAGGTCACTAACCATAGCTGGCAAGCGCAATTTATGTGTGCTCGGACGTAACTGGTATCTTACGAAGTCTCTACCGTCTTAAAAAATTTCTTTCATCCAAGATTAAAGTTATGTTCGTGCAGTCCTTAATTGTTCCCTTGATCGATTATGCGCAGACCTTGTTAACAAATTTTGCCGTCATCTCAATAACTGCATTCAATTCATTTTTAGTCTTCGTAATTATTATTATTTGTCTCCGCATACCGTTCTTAACTAAATTGGTTGCCCATTCGTTAGCGCCGTAGTTTGCATGAACTCTGTATAGGTATCTCGTTTTTGTAACTTGCATGTGGGTACATTGTAAAAGGTAACGTGGCAATTTTAAAATACAGATTAAAGATTCATTCTTGGTTCACTCGAGCACTTTCATTAACGTTTCCAATTAACACCAATTAACCCAACAAAAATCAAGGATTGAAAGAAGTCGTCGAAAGCAAAAGACACCGGAAAGGGAAGTTTTGAAAATTATTATTCTAGCGAGATACCTACACTCATTTCATTACCCATCATTGCATACTAGTGTCTCCCAATCCTCCCACCTACTTAACTCCCTACCTGCAATTTCGATGTTCTGATGATGACAGAACCCTTTGCCCTACAAACAACCTTTTACTTCAGTGTCGCCCCTACAACTCGGACTTAATCCGATATTCGTTTCCTGTCCAATCTTTTCTTCATTAGAATGCACTTCCTACCGATATTCTTTTAAGATGAAAGTAGGGAAACTGTTTCTGGATACGTTCGCAGATCGATCGCCTCATTAGTTATTCGTTTTTACATTTTTATTAATTTATTATATGTTTTTATAAGTGTATATGTATGTAATATATCACATTTATTTTATTTATAATTATTTTATAATTTTTGTATTGATTTATTATAGTATTTTTTCTTTAGTTTTACACGTTCTTATTATATCTGCACCATCTGATAGGTTGACTGGTAGAGAATGCCTCAGGTATTAAGACCGTTATGTAGTTTATTGATAAAGAAATAGACCGAAAACCGTTATTCTACAAATAAGATACATTTCATTGATAAATACTTATTTAACATACCTATAAAAGCATTCGGGATTGATAAAGATACTCTGCCAAATTTCGCATTTCGGTCAACAAGTCTAATTATAAATGACAATCACGCCTGCTCTGCTACGTCTTGTGATGTTGCATGCAAATAATGTGATAAGTATTTTATTTTGTCTTAGAGTAATAATTTTTCTTAATAAAATCAATTTTTTCGTTAAACCAAAATAATAACTAGGTATAAAATATCTATTTATACCAGATAATAACAAAGATGTGATATTTTTCTTTTCTGTAACAATTTATAGTTTTTTTAGTTCTATATTATTGAAGTTATCTAAAAGTGAATTTATGATAGAAACAAAATACGAAATTCAGTTGGGCAGAAGGTAGAAGCGGATACGTAGTTGCTTTCTAAGCCGAGTGCTTATATTTCTGTAGTCCTCGTTCCTATTATAAAGTAAGACAATCACCACCGAGGAATAATTCAATTTTGAGGAATGTTTGCAATGTGTATCTTATTGTAAGAAGTTAGTGTTAAATATTGGATTTGATTTTTCTCAACTTTTCTATCACGAGTTTTTTTCCTACTACTGTATATGCTATTCGGTGGTTTCACCTAAAAGAAGTCAAAATGTATATAAATAGTCTCCAATCAAAAAGAAAAATGTTGAAAGCATGATCTAAAACTAAAAACATGAAAATATAAAGTAGAAAAAGATTACACAGACTTGATGTTTAATTTCTCTTTGTTATGTGAGAAGGTGCCAAGCGAGCCGGCGGGTCATCTGATGTTAAGTGATAACTGCCGCCCATTTACATTTGCAACGCCCGTGGTGTTGCAGATGAACACTTCCACTTCACGCCGGTCTTCTGCGAGCTCGTGGTATTTTCCCAGAAGAACCTGCCTATTGGTGCAACAGCTAAGATTATTGGCGTGGTATTACGTGGCCGTAGTACAGTAACCAATACAGTTTCAGGTATTTAATTATTGTATATACTGTAATTTTTTTCTGTGAATCCCCACCATAGTTTATAACGTTTTGTTGTTAGTATTATAAAACATATGAATGTTACGTATGTAAACGTCATGAGAAACGGTTTCTTATAATCTGAATATATAAAAATCCGACAAGGTAACATAATCAAGTCAAGAAACCTAACCGCTTTTTAAATATTTTTTTGTGGTTATAGTAAATAATTGCCATAATAAACTTTAGATTAGAGACGTCGGAAACAAGTCACCGCGTCCGATGAAAAAGATTGAGGAAAAGCTGCATGGAGTGATGACGGAACAATTTTTTTAAGATGATTTATTTTTAATTTTAGTAACTTGACACAGACCGGAAGAGATAAGATATAGACATGTGTGTATGTAATAAGAAGTTATCAAAATCAAAATCAAAGTCAAAAATATATTTATTCACATAGACGCTTGCGCGTTCCTATGCGATGTCAAAAATTTTACATAAAAATTAATACGTTCGTAAGTTACCACCGGTTCGGAAAGCAGTTTCTGTTGAGAAGAAACCGGCAAGAAACTCAACAGTTGCTCTTTTTAAATGTCACTTTTATAATTATATTGTTAACCCTACTATGAATATTTTTCTTAACATTGTCTGTGTCTGCCTGTAATTAAGATTGATGTACTAGTTGAATAAATATTTAATTGGTAGACAATAATAAATAAATATGTTAATTAGATGTCACTAAAATTCCAATTAGAATTACGTACTCTCTGCTTAACAAAGTTGTATCATTGCAAAAACGTGTATCTACATTGCTTCCCGTTCCAAGAGTCAAGAAATATTACTATTACTTATTAAAACAGAATTATAAATTAACTTTGATAACAGTGTAGATTTGAATGGAGATGTCAGACATGTCAGTTTATCATGTAATTCTTTGCCCTTTTTAGAATATATTATATAAACAAAGTCATAATGCCTCTTATCGTTAATGTGTGCGCTGTTAACGTAATTTAAGGTGTCCCTTAAAATTGTTATTAATGGAGAATGGAGTGGTGCTAAATACTTTGATACTTTTCATTCACTGAAAAAGCGAAGGCCGTTTTCTTACCACGTTACACGTTTTGTGGCCGGCCTTATTGTGAAACCGGGCGTTATTGTGCTC